GAGAGAGAGAGAGAGAGAGAGAGAGAGAGAGAGAGAGAGAGAGAGAGAGAGAGAGAGAGAGAACTCTGTTTTACGCAGGCTTTTCCAGGGCACTACAAGCTTGCTTAGCCTGGGACAAGTTCAGAGACACTACCCGGCTTCCAGAAGGAATGCTTCTCTGGGTTCCATGCAGCAGAGCTAATAGCCCCATGAGGCAGGGACCCTCCCCAGAGCTCATTTCTAAACTGTATGCCACCATGTATAGGTGGAGATATAGAGGGATCCACCTAGACACAACTGACAAGACCCAGTGTAGAGAAGCCCGACTATGGGAAAGTGGGTGAAGCAAAGAGGAACAAAGAAGGATCTGCCTTGAGGGTTTTGGTGGAAAAAGTAGATTTTTCATCTCCCATCATCAGCCCTCGAAGGTTATTTGAGCTCCAGCTTGCAGCGTGAGGAACAGGAGCTCAGGGAGGTGGTGGCCTGCCATTGTTGGGTCCTACCTCTGATGGCAGTGTGTACCAGAGGAGGGCTGTGAGGTGCAGGCCAACAGAAAGGGAGGGCCTGCACACCTGCCCTTCCTCAGCCCTAGTTCTAGATTGGGCTCTGGCACTCATCTTTTCAGATGCAGACACACATGTCAGTCTCCAGGGCTTCTGAGATGCTGAATACATACAGTGGTTTCCTCCCTTCTGTCCAAACGTGGTTGCCATCAGTGTGATCAACGAGAGCCACAGGGGAACAAAGATGGGAATACAAGAGAAAGCATTGTGGCCATCCAGTTTGTGAACCAGCAGAATCTGGGGAAAAAAGACAGTAAGGTTCCTAAGGATATGACATTCGCAAATGGACAGCGTGTGAAACTGGCCCTATAGGTTGCCCTTTGCATTGGATCTCAGAGGAGGGCAAGTCACCACAGGACAGGGTGAGATTTATGAGGAACTCCCCATGCTGTTCTAAGGTATCCAGTGTCCATTCTGGAATTCTCTACAGAACTCCTATGTAAGACCAGGACACTGGGGGCCCCTCTTAGAAAGCTGACAATCAGCTCATGTAGCCAGCATGGCTGAAGAGCACACTGCTCTTGGTCAGCACCTTATGCCACCCCCAGGGTAAAGAAAGGATGGCCTCTGTCCCTGCCCTCCTCCCTCTCCTTCAGGGCTCCTTGTAATATGCCCTCATGCTGCCTGGAAAGGGATTCAGGATGCGTTCACAGAAGGCTGGGCTGGGGGATGAACAGGCATCCTGCCGAGAACTTACCTCAAAAGTCAGCAGCGGCACCACAATGGTCATCCAGCTCAGGGCCATGGTGATGTGAGTCCGTCGCTGCTCCGCGATCACATCCATAGAGCGCAGGAAAAGGACGGACCACACAATGTAATAGAGGACCACCAGGCACAGGAAGGACATGAGGATCCACAGGGGGACACACACCACCTGCAGGGAGGAGCAGAGCAGAAGTGCCCTGGAGATGCCAGCCCAGTCACTGGCTGGCAGAGGCTCTCCAAGAAAGCCTGACCAAGGACAGTCCTACCATGCACAGGGCTGCCTAGAGGATGGTACAGCAGAGGCAATGTGCAGCAGGCTCAGCCCAGGGTCTGCTACTGGGGCCTACCTGTCAGTAGCCCTTTCTCCTTCCAAGTCAGCCCCGCATCCTAGCCATGGCTCTGTTTCCTGGGGTACTCTTCATGGGCATTCCCTTGCATGTTCACTCCCAGTCACAGACACTCCTACTCGTTTACACAGGCTCTGCCCAGCACTGCCACTCTCACTGGTGCTGGCACCTCCTGAGTGTGTGGCTGTGCAGAGGGACTTCATCACACTCATTCACAAGACCAGGGGAGCCTGGGGCCAACACCTGCCAGCCTCCCTATATCACTCTCTCCCTGCTGCCTTGCACCCTGGCACTCTTTCACCCTGGTCCCTTTCTCTTTTGTAATCATGCAGCACAGTGGACTGCTTTAGGTGTACAGCTCGGTGAGGTCTAACTTGTGTATACTGGCTTAGCTACAGCAGCATACAGAAAGGTTCCATTGCCTTGTGAAACTGCTTTGTGCTGTACTTTTACTGTCATACCAGCACGCCATCATAAGCCCCACCAACGATGGATCTATTCTGTCTCTGTCCTTAGAAGAAGGTAGGGGGGCAGGGAAATGGCTCAGTAGAATTAAAAAAAAAAAAAGAAAAAAAAAGAGAAGCATTGCCCAACAAGTGCAAAGTCCTGAGTTTTTTCTTTTTCTTTTTGCGGAACCAGGGACTGAACTCAGGCCCTTGCGCTTGCCAGGCAAGCACTTATTCTACTGAGCCATCTCCCTGGTCCCAAAGTTCTGAGTTTTAACAGGATAAAATGTGATATCTATAGATTGTGGAGTACTACTCTACCATGAAGACTGACAAATTTGAGACATCTGTAGGAAAATACATGTGTCTGGAAGATATAATTTTGAGTGAAATAAATCAGACACACAAGCTTAAGTACTGCATGGTATCTCTCATCTGAGTGAGGCAATAGAAAATGACAAGCCGATGGATCTCCTGGATCCATAGGAAAGTGGTCCAAGGAAACAAGGGAGAAGGGTGAGGAAGGGGGAAGGAGAAATAAGAAAAGAAAGATGTGCCATGTACAGGAACCTGATAACCCCAGTGAATGCAAACACTATATGTCGTAACATGAGCTAAGATCAGTAATATCATTAAGAATGAAAAATAGTATAGGGGAACTAGTGGGGGAGGGGGAAGAAAAGGAAAGGGGGATTTAATCTCTCATTTCATACAGCATGAGTGAAGGGGATTTTTTAAAAAAGAAACAAGCTATGTTATATACATGTAGCCACTTCCAATGTAAATGTCATCAATACTAAACATGCACTAACAAAAAAAATTTAAAGAAAAAAGAAGAAGATAGCCCTGGTGGAATGAGACAGACAATAATTCTGTCTGTGCAATTTCTCTGCGTGCACTCACAGGTTGCTCCCTTGCAGGGTCTGTGGCATTCCATCCTACCAATGAGCAGTGTGTTGATCTCACCACTCACTGAAGTCCGCTTCCAGCTCTCAGAGTCATGGTGACTACAATTTGTATCTGGCTTTTTAAAAAATCATGTATGTATATATGTATGTATGTATGCATGCATGCATGCATGTATGTACGGATTTGGTACAAGGTCTCGCTACCCAGCTCAGACTCATAGTGATCTTCCTGTCTCAGCTTCCCCAGCACTGGGATTATAGGCATGGGCCACCACACCCAGTCTTGGTGGCCAGCTCAGCAAGCTCAGGGACATGGCAGGAGTGGCAGGCGTGGCATGTGATGCTGGGGATGGAACTTGGGTCCCAGTGCTTTCCACGCAGGTACTTACACCACTGAGCTATTTCCCCTGCCTGTGTCTGGCTTTCTGTGTGACTCTACATTTTCTTTTCTTTCTTTTCTGTCTTTATGAGACATGTCTCACTATGCAGTTCAGATTAGCATTGAGCTTACTTTTGTAGCCTGAGCTGGTCTCAAACTTGCAATGATCCTCCTGCCTCATCCTCCCAAGTGCTGGGATTACAGGTGTGCTCCACCACAACCAGCCACATTTTCATATCTAGTGATTTTAATTTCACTCTACTCACTGTAGAAAACATTTGAAATTACAAATCATTTTTTCTTGACTGTACTTATCATAAAAATTGGTCCTGTCCAGATAAATTTCTTCCATGTTACAACAGGAGTTTTGAGCCCATTATTGTTTCTAGATGTGGTATCCTAAAGATGTAGGATGGGGATCTGAACAATATTTCTGATTAAGAATATTGTCTTAAATATTTTGGCCATAAGTGATAAACCTCATCCCTAAGTTTGGCATCTGTGACCCGTGATTTTCTTCCTTCCCCACCCCAAAATTTTTTTGTTTTTAAAGAAGTAAACTCTATTTAATACAGAGAATATCTTATGTACAAAAGTACACATTAAGCACCAAGGAAAACACATCTCACAGGCAGTACAGTTCTTTCTTTATTCCCAATCTTTTCTATGCATTTACTAAATACTGTTTTCTCTCATTTGCAGCTTATTGCAAATTATACATCTTTCCCTCTCTCTCCTTTTCCATTCATAGTCAATTTTAAGCAAACACCTATTAGCTAAAGCCACAGTTTAGAAACATGATGCATGATGTCATATGAAGCAAGAGTTTAAGGGCCGGGGAGATAGCTCAGTAGAATAAGTGCTTGTCTGGCAAGTGCAAGGGCCTGAGTTCAATCCCCGGTACCGCAAAAA